CCAAGCCTCTGAGATGGCCTGTTACACTGGGCACGGCTGGAAAAGCCTGCTGCGCCCTGGGGACCACTTTAGATCAGAGTCTTGGGACGCATTTCCATGAGTCACTTTTAAACGTACTCAGTCCCGTACTCCTCCATCTTCTCCACCACCCCTACCCTCCCGTGCCCCCCAAAAACCACCTCTCACATTCCAAGAAACCCCGGAATGTACAAGAAGAAATAAGCAAGGTTTTCGGAGGCCTCCCAGACATTTGTAGCCAATGGCGCCAAAGGCTGAGGAGGGCCAGAGAAGAGCGCTGAGGCAGGTGGTGGGGAGTTAGGGGACAGCAGGGGCTCAGACCCCTGCCTTCACCCAGGTTGTCCACCGCTAGCACGTCCTTGCCAATGTGTCCTCACACTGGTGGCTCTCCAGCGAGGCAAATAATATGCTCTCCCTGCCCTCTGCCACAACATGACCACTGGCACTGCCTCCACTGCCATTCGCTCCCCAGAGGGTGTACCAATTCTTCTCCGTGGCAACCTGGGAGACAGACAGGGCACGCCGCGATCCCCATCGAATGTTCGGCAGCGGGCCAGCCCGGAGCCCGCGCCCTCTCCACCTTTTCTGGTGCCATCCACGGAAGATGCCCACGTTTCTCCTCCAATTCCTCCACTCCCGCTAGCAAAATACTTACAGCCCAAAGGAACAGCCGCTCCCGATCCGCGGAGTGGCCTCAGACACAAACTTGGGTGCGCTCGCTCGCTGCTGCGGTCCCCAAAACCAGCTGCGTTGAGGGCTGCGCGCGCGCGAAGCGAGGGGCCAGGGGGAGGCTGCTGGCGTTCCCCTTTAACGGGAACAACGCCCTGTTTGCGTCGCTGCAGTAGGGTGTGTCCCTGGGTCAGCGTGTGCGGGAGGGCGGGACTCTGGGAGAAGAGAGGGAAGGAGGGAGAAGGGCTGGCGACAGTTACTTGGTCTGAACTGCGCCCCAGGAAAAAGTGGATCACAGCAAAACCCTTGCCACGCTTACTGGAAACCAAGGCAGCTGGACCTCCTCGCCTCCCACCTCTTCTAGCTCCGCCAAGGGCACGGACACCAAATGCTGACCAATACACGGACCCTGCGCCCCCCACCCACCCCTCAGCCCACGTCGGAAAAGCCCGCCAGTCGTCGCCCCCATGGGTGCCCGGCACTGCGTTTCAGGGCACCAGGACTCGCATGGCGCCCAGGCATGGAACTGAGGATGGATATCTCTCCTCCGGCTTAAGCGGCGCTGACGCTTAAGGGTTGGAAGCTGTGTCCCTTCTTCCCTGAGCCACCTGGCCCCTGGGTTCTCTGGTCCCTTTCTCCTGGGGTCCTAGCCCCCA